GTGGTCATTGAGCTTCATGGCTTCTCCAAGGTTGACAGAGTCAGTCTCTCCCAGAACGTCCCCAGCGTGATCCGGAAAGCCTCGGGTGCCTGGTTCTCGGGCTCTTGGCCTTCGGCGCCGAGTGGCGGTCTGGGCCGACAGTGAGGCCGTGCAGACCAGCGCGCTCCGGCTTCCATGGCCCAGCGCTTGGTCTTACAAACCAAGTGGCTTGCCTCCCTGCAGTCTTGCTTCGATCGTCCGTAAGGTGGGGTTTTCAAGGGTTCTGTGGTGCGGTCAGCGCCGTTGTCTCTGACCCAGGGGCCCTCGTTTGTACCAGACTCATCTATGCGGGTCGGCCGCGGGCAGTAAAACGCACCGGCCTCAGTTGCCTCGCTCGTAAGAGAAGACCTCTGGTCCTCTGGTAGGCGGGCTGCCACTGGAGACGCTGTCTGCCATTGACGGAGCCCTCGCCGTGTGGCCAGCCCTGTCGCACCCTCTGGGGAGCAGTGAGGATCGAGAGGTGGCGTCCGGTAGGAAAACATTGGCTGTGGTGTTGAACCCCTACGGCAACATGACATCCTCGATTTCAAAGCCTGATCTGCATGCAGATGAGGAAGCAGGGGCAGGGAAACTCCTCCCCCCAGCCCAGCCCAGATGGACCCTCGGGGCTCCCCGTGTGTGGCAGAGAAGACTGTGCTGCATTTGGGGGACGAGATCACCAGGCCTTTGTCCCATGGCGCCCCTGGGAGCACTTGAATGGCGGACGGACGTTTGGTGAGCAGCGAGCTCAAACTTGGTGTCCTTGGGCACCTGTGAGCGCCAGCACTCCCCGGGGCGGCCTTGGGTGTGAGGGGCTCGCCAGCACCCTACCTCTGACGGGGGTAGGGGCTGTCGGGGTGGCTCGAGTCTGCCCCCTCGCATGGCCCAGTACTCTCAGGCTGGCCTGTTGCCCTTGAAGGTGAAGCTGGAACACCACCTTTCAGACTTCTGAGCCTGCACGGCGGTGACGCTGGAGCCGCCTCTCAAGAAGGGGTCTTGGTTTTCTTCCTTTAAAGGAGGCAAAGGCTAATTTCAGCATCTCAGACTGTCAAGGGGGCCGGGAACTGCATTGCACGTGGTGGACCCTAGCCGGAAGAGAGCCCTTGGGGATGGGAAAGGTGCCACCTGCCTCGCCCACAGGCCTCTCTGGCCGGGCTTGGGGCTCTGAGGGAAGCCGTCCATCCAGGGTGCCTGAGCAGAATGTTTTCATTGAGAGGATTCTTGGCACCATCCTGGACTGCAGCAACTCAAACATTTCAGAAGGCAATGAATGCTTTTCCAGGTAGAGTGAATTGTAGATCCCAGGGGTGCTTAGACGTTCCATCAGTGGCATTGAGTCTGCCCTCCACGAGAGGCCCTGCTGGGGTCTCCATTGGGGTTGAGTTCCCACACAGCCAGCACATCGCAGCTTCAGCCAGCTGGGCAGTGCGCACAGGAAAGCGGGCCAGCGGGAAAAGGGTGGGTTGGGCTTGGCTCAAGCACCTCGGCCGAGAATCAGCAGGGTGTCAAGAGGAAGCAAAGGCCGGAGTCAGCAGAATCATGCGCTGGTCCTCCCCAGGGGACATTTCATCTCCGCCTCACACGCCACCATTGCTAGAAGCGTGACTGCCATCACATCAGTTTGGCCTCATGACAACCCTGTGTGTCACCGAACAGAACCGCCCCGTCAGGGTTTCTGGGGCTGCAATCTTCACAGAAGCTGGTAGTCTCCCGTGACACTGCTGGACAGGTGTGGGTGGGCCCGTGAGGTCCACAGACAAGTGCCAGCCGTGCCTCCAGGGACTTGTGAGGCTGCGGGAATTCAGTAGTGTGCCTGAGGCCACACTGCTGAAAAGGACAGAGCTAGAATTTAAACCTGTTGGGTAGCGTCCAGGTGGTTCCGACTCATCGCCTGCCACCCAGTGGACAACAGGAGAAGCCCCTTCCTGTCCCTTGGCCACCCTGAGTTCCCACTGTCACGCCATCTCATTGAGGGGCTTCCTCTTCCTCTGCCCTGCTGCTTTACCCGGCCTGGCGTCCTTCTCTGGGGACAGGTCCCTCCTGGCCCCTGTCCAAAGTAACACAAAGTCTTCCCACCCTCACTGCTGAGGAGCATTTGGCCGCTCTCCTTCCAACACAGATGGGTCGTTCTTCTGGCCATCCACGGTACTTGTCCACATTGGTGCCCACACCTGAGTTCAGGTGCCTCGGTTCTTCCGTCTTCCTGTTCGTTCTGTGCCTGTTGGGCGATTGAAAGTTTCTTGGCCTGGGTCAGGTGGACCGCGGTCCTCACCGCGACCAACATCTTTGCATTTGAACCGTTGGGACGGTCTTTTGCAGCACTTTCGCTCATGCGTGGTTTAATTTCCTGACTGCTGCTCTTCAGGGTGTGGGCTATAGATTCAAGGAAATGCCAACCTAGCTTCTCCCTGCTCCCACATCCACTCCCTTCCCCGACACCAGCCTGCCCCGCATTCGTGTCCATCCAAGGAGACCTTGGGCACGAGGGCTTCTGCAAAGCGTTGGGTTGTGAGCGGCCATCAGGTTGCTTTTCCACTCCGGGTAGAACTGCTCCTCCGAGATTTCTAGATGAATCTCTGCGGGAGCAGATCACCAGGTCTTTCCTCCCAGCGAGACCCTGGGTGGGTTTGAACCTCCAATCTCTTGGAGTCATGGCACCATCGGGCCTCCTTGCTTTGTGAAGTATCTATAACCAAACGATCCGTTCAGCGCCCTGGGGCACCACACCAAGTCGCCTCCTCGTAGCCCCAACAGGCTGTAATCGTAGACAAGGTGACTCATGACTCAGGATAGAGACCAGCCTCCTTGATTTGACCAGGGCTGGCCGGGAGCAAGGTGGCAATAAGCAGGAGAGAGTGAGCGCCATGGTCCAGCGCCTCTCCGTCTCATGCTCCAGGCTCAGCAGGACAATCCACAGACAGGCTTCCAGGCGTGGGGAAGTCTGTTTCTGCTCCTTTCTTGGAGCATTGGCCTGAGGCTGGCTCCCACCAGAATCACCAGGAGAGCTCCCAGGCCCTGCCCCAACCCTCCTGAACCCGTCTCCAGCACATATTTTCCAATGCTCCCAAGAGATTCCGGGACAGTGGAGGCAGACAGAAGGAGGGAGAACCAGCAGCTCCGGACCCTTGGAATCCACATGTGTCCAGTCTTCATTTCTCCTTCCGGGCTCTGCCCCCCACCACCACCCCCAACACTCCCCGGCCCCATGGTCTCTGAGCAGCCTGGCGCCAGCCTCCCTGAGGTGGTGGCTGCTGCCCCTCCACCTCAGCATGCGCACCTGCCGCCTTTCCAGTGCTCATGGGTGAGCCCTGTCACTTTGTCACGTTGGCTCCTTAGCTCCCTCTCAAGTCCAGGTGACGTGACAACCTGGAGACATGCGTGTACCCTGCACTAGGCCTGTCACCTCCTCGGACGTCACAGACAGGGCTGGTTTCTGCGACCTGAGGACGATGAGTGAGGCCCAGTCTCTGGGTGGTAAATGCCCCCCCCCCAGCTCACACGCCAGCTTGGGGCTGAGCCAGGCTGGCCCGGGGTTGACCGGAGCATGAGGCGCTACTGTCCTCATCCAGGACGGAACATCTGGAGCCCTTAGCCCTGATGGATTAACCCAGAAGCACCCCTGCACAACCCGGACCACTTCTGGGGCTTCTTTCACAGTCCACCCCCCCACCCCCGCCAGCCTTCCTGCTCCCTCTCCCCGCCCCAGTCCTGTGAACGGCATTCTCAGCCAGTGTCCCTCCCACTGGGTGATTGATAACATGCATTAAATTAGGTTGGCTACATCATTTTATACCTGTCATCAACCCTCCTGTCCCTTTTCTGCACCAGAGCCCCCAGGGACTTCCTGTGGTCACCCCAAGTCCGTGGTCCTCGGGCCTCCCCACACCGCACCATGGTCTCTCAAAAGGCAGTGTTGGCTGCTGCTTACGGTGCCCCCTGCCCTGCCCAGGTGCCCCATACTTCCCCTAGGTCCCCACCCTGGAACCTGTGAGCCAGGCCCTCCGTCCCCTGCTTTCTGAATGCTCTGCAACATTCTCAGTTGGCTCCCCTCTCACCTTCTCAGATGCCCCGTTGCTGCTCCTCTGACTGCCACACTCTGCCCTGCCCACCCCCCCGGCCTCGGGTCTGCTCACCCATCGTCTTTTTCGCGCGTCCGTTCCTGACCAGCTAGGTCTCTCCCCTGTGCTTCCTCTCCACTTTGTAACCCTGGGCCTTCCAAATGTTTAATGTCATCTTGTCACAAACCTTTCCGATGCTCCCGCGTATCTTTCTGTAGCACCCACTGCGAGGAAGGAAGACGGCTTTTCACTCCCTCAAAGAGTCACCGTCTCGGAACCCACAGGGGCAGTTCCACCCTGTCCTGCAGGGTCGCTGTGAGCCGGCATCGACTCAGCGGCAGTGAGGCTGGTTGTTGCTCTGGGCCCACTGCCCCGCAGGCATTCGGGCATGACTGGCACATTCATGGATTGCCTCGCCCGCCCGCCCCCACTCAGGGACAAGCTCTGTGAGGGCAGCTGTGGTTGTCTTCTTGGTTCACTGCCATTTGTCTGCCTGTCCACTGTGGGCACTTGATCTCTCCCGAGCAGGGGACTCCAGGAGGGCAGGGGCAGGCTCTGTGCACACAGGCGGGAAGGAAGGCTGCGTCCTCTGGGCCGCCCAAAGCTGCGCAGTTCTGTCATTTCCTGTCTTCTCCCAGGAGCAGGCCATAGAGGTGCTGACCCGCTCCAGCTTGGAAGTTGAGTTGGCCGCCAAAGAGCGGGAGATCGCCCAGCTGGTGGAGGACGTGCAGCGACTGCAGGCCAGCCTCACGAAGCTGCGTGAGAACTCGGCCAGCCAGATCTCTCAGCTCGAGCAGCAGCTAAGCGCCAAGAACAGCACTCTCAAAGTAAGCGTGGGGAAGGCCGGGAGGCGTAGTGGGGAGGGCAGGCCAGGTGTGCACCTGCAGCCCCCAGCAACGGGTCCCAGGGCATCGGCAGGTGCGGACAGGCTGTCCCGGTGCCACGTGGTCCCACTAACATCCTGAGCTCCTCAGTAGGTCCCTTCTGCCCCCAGGGTCCGGGCTCTGCACCAGGCGCGGTGACAGCGGCAGGAGGCCTGGTCCCAGAAGCTGCCTCGTTTGCCCTGGCTGAGCCGGCTCGCAGAGATGGCCAATGCGTGCTCTCTGCAAAGGCGGCGGTTAAAATTCATTCTCCTCTTATAGCAAACGGCCTGCTGGGCGGTTTCCTCCGCCTGCGCTTTGGCCATCCATGAGAGCTTGCCCCTTAAACGAGATCCAAGACTCCCCTCGACGCGTGGCGCCTACGCTCCACTGGAGCTCCTGCGGGGCCGCATCTTGACAACAAGAGAATTCCTTGTTGGCAGCAAACACAGTGGCCTCGAGTCCCTCATGCCACCCAGCGGCTGGGGACTGGGTTTGAACCTCCCTGTCAGCTCCCTCTGGGCCACAGGTGCCCTGGCCCTTGGCCTCACTGCCTGTCCTCTTGCATCTGTCCCTGGTCTGCTCCCCACAGGAGCACAGCCAGGACAGGAGGCCTGGTGTCTCCCTGAGGCCCCATGTGCTCTCTCCATGTCAGGGGCCATCTCTGCAAGTGGCTTCCTGCGGACACTCACAACAGCAGGTGGACTACAGAACACGGTACCTCAAAACCAAGTGGAAGCCAAGATAGGCGAGAGCTCCCCGTGAGAGTGGAGCCTGGGGAGGCCACTGCCCTGGGCTGCAGGCAATGTTTCTGGGTTTCTGTATCTGCCTGTTAGGCTGCTGCTGCCCCCAGGGGCCCCCAAATCAGGCTGCTTCCACACGGGAACCCACAGGAATGTTAGCCAGCCTATTCCAAAGATGGGCCTTCTTGGGGTCGCTCATAAAATTCGCTCCCAGATCCAGAAACCGGAACCGTTTCTCCTTTATGTGTTAAAAATAGTAAGACTTCTAGTCAGGTATTGATAATCTGTTGAGCTTAGTATAATGGGAGATAGTTCTGGAATCCTAGGATCATAGCATCGCAAAACCAGAACGTGCCGCCCTGGAAATGTCTTCTTGAACAGAGGTGGAGAGAGGGCCCAGGGCTCTGGGCCTGTCCCAGGGCAGAGTGCTCCCTCCTCTGCTGTCTGCCCCAGACAGTGAGCCTGCCCACTCAGACTCACTCCTGCCCCTGAGCTGTGTGTGAGTGAGAGGCTGGCTACGCATGTCCACTGGATACCAAATATAATGGGCAGCCTTTATATATTAAGGTGAGTCAAAGTTGGTTGTGCACATGTCAGTCTGCCACGTGCAACGATTCTAAAATACAGTTAGGCTCTTCCCTCCCCCAACAGTTTTATTGGCATATAATTCACATATCATACAATTCAATAGTTCAGTCACATCAAGAAGAGTTGTTCAGTCATCACCATAATCTGTTTTAGAATACTTTCTTCATTCTTGTTCTTATCATCATTTGTTCCCCATTTTTCCCTCAAACCCCCCGACAGACCCCCAATGAACCATTAGCTAGTTATTCTCTCTATGGATTTGCCTACCCTGGTGTTCCTAGATAGAAAAGCACTAAAACAAAAACTAACGAACAACAAAGTAGAACAAAGCCTCAATAGAAAAGGAAGCAGAAAATATTTAAAATAAAACAAATTTAAGTGGATCATAAGGGAGATGAGAAGATAGGGTGCTAAATTTTAACCTAACTGTATCTGCAACAATCCACTTCCCAATGCATTTGGCTTGTTAGCAAAGCTATTCACATCCCTGGTCTGTGGTCAGATGGGATTCACCACCAGGTGCTTAATCCACATATATTTCCCCCTTCACTTTTTAAAAAAAAATCTGAAATAGCTATAAAACGAGTCAAAAGAGAGGTCAAATGAAAAGGTATTACTTTTTGACCCAACTCGGTCTGCCATAGCCCACTTTACAATGCTCTCTGTCTGATAACATCCCTCAACTGTGCTCAGAGGGGACTCACCAAAGGCTTGACCCATGTGTGGGACCCGACATACAGATGTTGGGCTTCCACTGTCATCCATGGCCTTCTGCTAACCAGGTGTTCACAACGTAAGCTCTGGTGCCGCTCCCTCCTTTAGATTTGGATCGTATCCTTTTCAATCCTTGGATGACACACTGCTGTGCTGCTTGCGTGTGGACTTAGTCGGCGTCTCCCTTGGGTGGCTGCTTGCTTGAAAACAAGCCTTTCAGAGGCTATTCTTTCTGGTAGCCAGGCACCATCTAGTTTCTTCACCACACTTTGCTACGGCACCCATGTCTTCCATGACCTCTTCATGAGGCAGGGAAGGGTCTTAAGAAATATTTGTACTTCGAATTAACTGCCAGCCAGGGACTAATTTGCTGCATGACAAAATACATTGTATCACAAATCAAATGTTCTGAATCTTTATGTCTTAACTTTAATCACTAATTCTTTTAATTCAAGAATTTCATGAACACCTGCTGCATTTCATAAAGTCAAAGAAACCAGGCCTCACCCTTCAACAGGAATAGTAACTGGGGCCTCCCATGCACCAGGGCCTCTCAAGGGTCCCTGCCCCCAGGCCCTTCCCTACCTCCCCTTCACTCACCCATTGAGGAAACTGCCATCCCCATTTCCCATAGGAGAAGGATAACCGTGTCCTCAGGCACTCAGCTTGTAAACTGGACTGGAGGCTCGAGCCCCGTCCACCCTCTCCCCTTCCTTCTCCCCAGTCTGCAAGTGTGACCAAGTTTGGTGTGCCTTCCACAGCCAACTGGAGTGCATTGGACAATCTGAAACGCATTTTGCAGCTCAGCTGCGGGAGAGATGGCCTTTTGTTGGGGCCGACTGGCCCATTAGCCTTTCCTGCTATGTGACTGCAGGGGAAAGAATGAAGTAATCGCTGCTTCTCCACCGCACCTTCTGAGATGAATGCAAGCTCCCCCGTTAGATGACAAACGAGCTAGCCATTGTAAGGCATCAGTGTAGCAAGAGGGCTGAAAGGGGACGAGGGCAGGCCCATTTCCCCGCAGTGGGGAAGCCAGACACAGGAGTCAGCACAAAGGCTGCCGCCCAAGACGGCCCATGGGACTCTGGTGGGCAAACGCCCAGGGTGGGTTGGGATTCAGACCGGCTGGTGGGCATCTCCTCAGCGCCCTTCAAGCCCTCTAGAAGGGACTCCGCCGGCATGGTGCAGCCTTTCTGGTAGAACCAGGAAACGCCACGGGAGGTACTGAGTGAGGACGTCCAGGCCCGTCGGGGGTCGGCAGTGGTTCGCCCTGCCCTTGAGAACTGCGGACGATCGGACTCCCCCCAAGTCCTCCAGGGTTTGCGTCACAGCAGAGGCATCCACAACCCCTGCCAGAGAAAGCCCTGCAGGCCCCTAGGCAGACCTTGGAAATGGGAGGTCACCTGACGTTTGGGGCAGCAGAGGCTTTTTCTCGGGGCCTGCCTGCTGGGATTTCAAATGGAAGTTGTGACAGTATTTCCCTGTATTGGCAGCAGAAGGGCGTGCGTGTGTGTGTGTGTGTGTGTGTGTGTGTGTGTGTGTGTGTGTGTGTAAAACTCATCAGACCAGAAGCATGAAAGACTAAAGTTGACAGCTGCCGGTCATCAGCTCCTGCCATCTCTGCGCTTGCTCTCTGCTCGGGACCAGGCTTTGCGTTTACAGGGGACACAGCCAGTGAGTGCTACCACCTTCTTTCTAAACGTTGCCACTAACAGGCACTGTCTCTTTGCAGCAACTGGAAGAAAAGCTCAAAGGGCAGGCCGACTACGACGAGGTGAAGAAAGAATTAAAGTAAGTGGGGCGGGGGGCCTGCGTGACCCTTCTCATCGTGTGTGCCAACACAAACCCCCGGCAGCCCACCCAGAAGCACTGCCCCCCCTCCTGTTCAAGGCCAGGTGACCCACTTCCCAAAAAGCATTTCCTGCAAAAGCCCTGGGAAAAGAGCCCATGGGCTTACAGGTAGGTTAGAGACTGGCGCAACCCCTAAGACTATGCCACTTAATCACTCTTCAGGTCTAGAGCTGGAATCACCCCCAGGGCTCAGCTTTCAAGGGAACAATAGCATTCCTGAGACACTACACACACACACACACACACACACACACACACACTCACGCCTTAGAAGAGCCAACCATTGGAAGTCGGGAGGATGACATTTGCCCAAGGACAAAAGTTGAGAAGGGTCAGGAGGAGGGGCTGTGGGAAGGACATGGGCAGGAGAGATGGGGGGCATTACACTGAGGGGACTGCAAGGAAGCAGATGAAGCAAACCGTGTGTAAATGGTGGAGCACTCAGCTGATGGCCTGCTCGCTAAACCCTCACCTGATTCACAGTCAAAAGTTTAAGAAAAGGGCCCACTGACACTCAGTTCTGCTCTGACCCATCTTGGGGTCACCAGGAGTCACTGTGGACTTGATGGCACCCGACTGTGGTTCGGTTTGTTTACCCTCCTACTGTGAGTTGGTCGGAGGCTTCCGCAGGGAACCGTTGTCCATTCTGCCGTCCATATACATTCGGTTTCATCTCCTGGCTGCAGTCCCCACCCACCACCTCCCTGCTTTCCGCTCCCACTGCTCCTCTCCTAACCCTTCCTGCCCGCTGAACGTTGCCCTAGGCAAGCGCTGGCCCCTGGTGGTGACTTCGGACCTGATCCATCCTCTATCCCTGCCTCCCCTCCCTGCCTCAACTTCCCCCTCACCTCGCCTC